CCCAGAAAATTGCACCAAAAAATGGCTTACCTTTTGCTAGTAGTACGAGTAGTCGACAAAAACCATTTGGGAGTGTGCAACGTCCGTGTCGAAAGAAGGAAAGGGGGGGCGGTACACAAAACCTGTGGGGTGTGCACGGTGTGCATGTAAGCGCGTCATACATTCAAACATAAGTCGCATTGTCCATGTCCTTTTGCAATGGCTTATAAGCCGTGCACTCCGTGGGTGTGGGTGTTTGTGGGTGCTTTTGCTGATGTTGTTGGCAGGCCATGCATGCAAAAAAAGCGACACACACCGCACGAAGTGCCTGCAAGGCAGCATTGGACCAGACTCACCTTTGCAACCTAAAATGAGGCGTGTGCGGGTATCTCACCGAAGGCGGAGAGACTGCCGCATACAACCAGACATTCGATGGTTTTCATACATTCGCAAAAAATTTCGGACATGAGACCGCACACAACAATGTGGCAATGTACACGAAATTTTAAATGTGGAACAATGCTTATTGTTGGAGGGTGCTGACCGCCTCGCAAATACAAGCAGCTGACATGTACGGTTTGCAGCGAAGATGAAGGATCCAACTGCCATAGTTGTTGGGGCATACGTGCATATGCGCGTTCATGTTTGTGGGTACAACTAAATATATATTTTTCGTCTACTTGGAAGCCATATAGGGGAACTTATCGTGGGTAAGCATATGCTTTAAGTTGCGCGCAGCCTGAAAAGCATCATCAGTGCTGCTCTGAGTAACATAACAGCTTAAACGCATGATTTGCAGTATTATGGTATTTCTTTGATTTGCTTACAGGGGCGCCGCGCTGCTGCTTCATATGTGGTCGTAGACAACGCCTGCGCTTTGGCTGGCGGCGGCTCTGCCAGCTTTTGAGGACAAGTTTTATCCGAATATACGGTGCGTAAGTTATGTGTTCGTTTCAACGCATGCAGCTAGACAGCAGCATCTCAGCACAAGCGTTGCCATCTTAGCTGCGCGCCTAACCTGCGCGTTCGCTTGCCATAGTGATGGGATTTGGGATAAGGATTCATTAGTTCTTTTAGGGGGCTTTTGAGAGCTTTGGACCATGCAGGGAGTCGTAGGTGCATTCAAATCGCTAAGCCTGCAGCAACCCACAGCAGCACATCATGGGCACCTCAGCACAATCTTGCAACGACATGTTGTGGCATCAACAAAATTTCGCGGATCATAGTTCATGTATAAAGGGCAAGCGGAAGGAGTGCGCATGGTTTGGGTAGATGGGCTTGTGGGAGACGTAGAAAGGGCCTGTGGTATTGAAAACTGCCCCGTCCAGCATTTGATTCAACATGTCAGAAATCGTAACAGATTGCGTTAGTGAGAAATTTTGGGGCAACACGGGAAGGGTGGTTTCCTGTAGGGTTTTGGGGAGTACACACGTTAGGAAAGAATGGGCTATTGCAGCGAAGCAACCCCCCAGATGAGTGCTAAAAACGGTGCATTAGAACATTCATATTTGAAGCTTAGCCTAACGTTGTCCTTGGCCTCCGACTGCACCCACTACCCTCCAGAGAGTGGCTTGGAGCTCCGAAGTCGAGGAATGTACGTCATACATCGCTACAAGGTGTGTATGGATAGGGAGGGTCGGGGAATTGGGGCTGGGAGGGTTGGGAGGGTCGTGGCACGGGAGTTGGCGGGGTATGGGGGTTAGGGAGGGTCGGGGAATTGGGTTGGGATGGTTGGGAGGGTTTTTAGGGTTTTAGGGTTTTAGGGTTTTGGGTTTAGGATTTTAGGGTTTTAGGGTTTTAGGGTTTTAGGGTTTTAGGGAGTACACACGGGGGGAAAGAATGGGCTATTGCAGCGAAGCAACGCCCCAGATGAGTGCTAAAAACAGTGCATTAGAACATGCATATTTGAAGCTTAGCCTAACGTTGTCCTTGGCCTCCGACTGCACCCACTACCCTCCAGAGCGTGGCCTGGAGCTTTTCGAGTCGAGGGACGTACGTCATACATCGCT